TTTAATAAATCTAAAATGTATAGTATAACAAATTAACAAATTTCTGATCCATCATAACTCCCCATTGTTTTGTCATATGTATTTCTTTTTCCACCTGATAACTAATTACACTTAATTAAAACAATAAGGTTTCATTATATAAAAAATAATTTTCAAACAGAATTAAAGTTTGATGTTAAAAAAGTTAAATCAAACCTTAATACTTTGGTTTTTGCTGATAAAACAAACAACATTTTCCACCTCACAACACAAAACTATGAAAAAATCTTACGCTACAATTTTACTAGTTCTTATGAGAAAGCCCCTAAAAATATGAAAAATTCAAGTAATTTAGAAGGGAAAAGTATTGTTAAAAACATAAACCTTGATAACAGATTTGAATCAACTGCCCCTGTCCAAGTATTGTAACAAAAAATGGCCATAAACCAAATTTTTAAAACAAATTTTCTTGTAGGTTATTGGTTCGCTCAAAAAGTAAGATTGGACAAAAAAGCAAAGTTAAATTGGACAAAATGAATAATACTCTTAGAAACAAATTAAATTTGCAACAGTGACAAATAACACTTATGTTTTAAATTAGTGATTGTACATTAATTCAATTTGACATTAATGATTTTTACCCCTCAATAACTGCAGATATTTTAGGTAAAATAATTGAGATTGCGAGAAGCCACAGAGTTATTCCTAAAAAAACAATCCGTAAAATAAAACATTGTAAAGATTTATTAAGTAAAGTAATCATTAATAATGATTTAGCCTTAATCGCAAAGATGGTTTAATAGTAATGTGTAAAAAATCTGGTCCACAGCTCGATAAAGTTAGAAAAAATGTTTTAAAATTTTGTCAAAAAATTTGCTTTCAAATTGAAACAAACATAAATTTAAAAATTGTGAACTTTCTTGACGTCACATTTAACCTTCATGAAAATTTATATAAGGCTTTCAAAAAACCAGACGATGATTTATTGTATATTAATATTAACTCAAATCATCCACCCCAAATTCTAAAACAAATCCCGTTTTCAATTAATATCAGGCTAAATTAAAACTTCTCTAATGAAAATGTATTCAATTTCTCTAAACAAGTATTTGAAGATGTCCTTAAAAATTGTGGTTTTAAAAAGTTTGAACTAAAATTTGATCCTGAAAAATAGAACTAGAACTAGAAATGTAATTTGGTTCAACCACCAATATAGCAAAAACGTCTCCACTAACATAGGAGAAGAGTTTTTAAATTTAGTCAATAAGCATTTCCTGCCCTCTAATAAATTACATAATTTTTTTTTTTTTTAAGCTACAGTTGCGTAAAAAATATAGAAAGATTTATAAAAGGTAAAAATAATGCTTTGTTAAACAAAAAAGAAATCCTAAATAAAAAAACTACAGAAAATTGTGTTTCTAAACAAAAAAACAATTTTCCAATAAGTGGAAGTTGTTTATCTTAAAATGTGGTATATAAACGTGTTGTTTTCTCTAAGAATGTATCTGATAAACAACATAATGACATAACAGAGGGTGACTGAAAAAAAATTTTGCAAATCATAAGCAATCCTTTAAAAATAAAAAGTATTCAAAAGACACCATACTGTCAAAATATAAATGGAAATGAAAAGATAAAAATATTGATGATTTTATAATAAATTGGATTATCCTTATAACAGCACCTGCATATAACAATATTTCCAAAAAATGCATACTATGCATACAAGAAAAATTATAAGTTATTACACAAGCAAACCAAGAATGTTTATTAAACAAAAAATTGGAATTATTTTCTAAATGCAGGGACGAAAATAAGTTTCTCCTAAAACGCTATAAAAGTAAGTGAGCTTAAACATTTATTACATTAATTTTCTTTTTTTAAGTATCTAAATAAAAGCAGAAGTAATCAATTCTAAAGATTTCTTTTTATAATAGAGCCAGCATATTCCACAAGTGCGTAAAAATTTACAAAAATTATGACATTTGCGATTTCCTGTAAATTAATTTATTGGTATTAAATTTAAATTTTATCAATTTGATCATTTATTTTTGTTAAGTTTCTATTTATGAAATACTGTGTTAAATGAATAAACATTTTGCTAGGTGATTTTTTACTACTTACTTTACGACTTAAAACAAATATGTATGTTTATTTTTTCCAAGTTTTCTAATTGAGATAAAGTTAGGTTTTTCTTCAATTTTTTGTTATACTGATTGTTTCTTCGGGATTGTGTTGATTTTTGCAAATTAAATTGTTTTATCTAAAAAAAGTTTAGTTATTGAGGGGTAAAAACCGTTAATGTCTATTGAATAAATGTACTGTCTTGTTTATTTTCGATCATTGAGAACTAATTTATAACATTTGTGGTATTTTTCTAACGATGCAAAATTTGAAAAAAGAAAAACATACATGACTACTTTGACGTAACAATGGCTAGTTATGATGTAGCAGAAATTTGAGAATTTGTTGGACTATGTATTTTAGATTTATTAAGTAAATTAACACAGGTCTGCAACATTTTTTTTTTCTAATATTTAAGAAATAATACTTATGTATTTTTAATCACTGAATTCAAAAATAGTTGTCAATAAAATTCATCACGTAAGGTTTTTCTAAAAAACGCAAAATGCTGTGGGATTGTCTATTTCGGGGCAAAAACGGAGTTTATTGCCAAAATATTTATTATTTTATTTTTTAACTTATTATAAGATATTTTTATGTTTCTTAGTCTGAAACAAAACACTGAGTAACTCATGAAGATAATATAATTCGGCGTTATGATTCAGGATTTTCCATAGTAAGTAAGGAAAATCCCGATATATACAAATGCGGAAAATCCCAAGGAGTTTTCCTTTTATTTATTTCTTTTAGTTCCAACTTTTGTAACGTGCATTTCAAAAACGACTTAAAGTAGTTGTTTAAGTTATTCTGAGAGTTTTTGCTATACTTTTCGAGAATTTGTAGTAAAAAAAACACAAATAAATATTAATGAATTTGTTAAAAATGTATACTTTGCGTATTTTGTTTAAAGATAGGCGATCAGGACAAATCTTGGGCCTCGCATAGAGTTTGTTCAGGGTGTGTTGAAGCACTTAAAATGTGGTCAAAAAAGAAAAGTTAATTCTTTTTCTCTTGAGAACCTTTAAACCACAGCAATGACTGCTACTTTTGTTCGTGCAATGTGCAGGGGTGTAATACCAAATATAAAAAACAAACTTTTTATCCAAGCATGGAATCGGCACTCCGACCTGGCATTCCTATACCACAAGCACCCCAAAGCCTAGAATTAGATAGTGACTCAGAAGAAAGTTCTAGTGACGAGTTTCATGTAGACGACTCCAGTAGTCCTCAACAATTTTCTCAAGCTGAATTAAATGACCTGAACCGAGATTTAGGATTCTCAAAATAATTTGCTGAGTTACTAGGATCTAAGAGAAAAATTTATTGACACCTGGAACTTCTTTTGCTTGGTATAGAAATAATGAAAAATATTTGGAGCCTTATTTTTTTCAATATTGTGAGCTTGTCTATAGTTCTGATATCAATGGGTCAATGTCCATTTTAAAGTTCAAAGTATAGCTGAAAATTGGAGACTGTTTATTGATTCTTCAAAAAGAAGTATAAAAGCTGTTTCACTTGACAACGAGAATAAGTACACATTAAAAACACATTGGTCATTCACTGCGTTTGAAGGAAACTTATATTAACTTGGAATTGATCTTGGATAAACTAAAGAACAAAGAATTCGGGATAACAGTTTGTGGGGATCCTAAAGTAATTTCTATGACTTGGAAAGCAAGCTGGTTACACAAAATTTACCTGTTTTCTTTGTGAATGGGATAGTCATGCTAAAATTAATCACTGGAACCAGAAAGTATGGCCAAAAAGAACATCAAAGGTCGAAGAGAAAAACGTGCACTTTGAACCATTTGATTAATCCTCAAAAGGTTCTTCCACCGCCACTCCATATCAAACTTGGCACGATTAAGCAGTTTATGAAGGCATTGCTAAAAGATGGTAAAACATTTAAAATATATAGTTTCCTGGTCTGTTTAAAGCAAAGCTGAAGAAGGGAGATTTTGTTGCTTCTGACCTTTGTAAGCTAATAAAAGACAACAACTTCAAAATGGGATGAACTATGTTGAGAGGTCAGCATGAAATTCTTTTAAAGATGTAGTTACAAAGTTTCTGGGAAATCAGAAACACTCGGACTTTAAAAGTATCCTTGAAAATATATTGTGCAATTTTAAAAATCTGGGATGCTCAATGAGTTTATAGCTCCGTTTTTTGAAATCCCATTTGGATAATTCCCGGAAAATCTTGGTGCAGTTAGTGAAAAGCAAGGTAAGAAGTTTCAGCAAGATATAAAATAAATGGAGATACAAATATGATAAGCGACTACTGCTGGATGCTGTATAGGCAAAATGTAACATCCCACAAAAAAAAAAGCACTAAACGAAGCTTCGATACTAAAAAATCTAGATTTTATAAAGCTTTATAATTGTATCTACTGTAACAAATTATTAGATGATTTAAAATTAATTAAATATGTCCCAGACAGCAAGCTTACATTGGACCAATGTTGGGCCAATGCATCACCATGCATTGGCCCAACGTTGAAAGTCGATGTTGGCCCAATGCAGGTTTGATCATTGGTTAGGTATTGGCCCAATGTTGTGTACAACATTGGGCCAATGTTGTATACAACGTTTACCCAACATTGGCACAACATTGTATAAAACGTTAAACCAATATTGTAAACAACATTAGCCCACATTGTATACAAAATTGGCCTAATATCGTATGTTATACGATTATTATTTTTATATTGGCCTAACGTTTTATGCAACATTAGATGGTTATTACAAATAAGATGATTTGCATCGCAACATTGAAAAATTATTGAGAAAAAAAAGAATGTATTATACAAGTATAAAAATTTATTTATTAAACATAATTTCTCGGTTAAACATACATATTGCAAACACCAAACTTATACCAAAAACTGACACATTGAGTTTCAAACAAAAAAATTCACTGTATAATTTATATAGTAGTTTCGACCAATGACTGAGCTACTTGTTATTGAATCGTGTTTAGCTTATGACATTTGGTGCCCACAATTATTATTTTTTCTTCCGCTATCTCTACCACATGTCTGCATAAGCCCTACTTATTTGACTTCACAGTTTCTGCAAAAAAAAATAGTTGTTTGTTTAATTATGCACCAAAGAAAAATAACAAATTGAAAGTAATTCTGTAATACAAAATTGAAACTGAAAAAATAAACTTTTCTAAACCACTTACCTATAGCAGTATATGCAATCAACATTTTTCCTATTCCAATTTTTCATCCTCTTTCTGCATAATTCAATTTTACAGCTAGGCCATTTTAATAAACTATTCTTAGTTAATAACATATACAATCTCCTTCGTCTTTAACTTCAATTTGTGCCAAATAATTAACTTTCAAAAATACACAGCCTGGCAGTAATCAAAGTAACTTTTGTTTAGACTTAAGTTAATATAAAATGTCAATTACAAAAAATCTTCAAAGAGTATTTTATTTAAAGTATACAAATTGTACTACATATCATACTAAATGCATAAACAGATCATAAAAAAATATTTACCATTTACTGAAGTGTTTTCTTGTCTTTTTTCTTCCAGAGTACTTGAATTCTTTACTGCTTTTAATGGCAATGACACTCTTTCAGGCAATACAATAATTAGCATACCTTTGATACTCAATTTTTTATAACTGAATACTCAATTTTTTATAACTGAATTTGATGTATTTTGTAGTTCACCAAGTTGCACTTCAATGCTTGCCTATTGTGCCTTTAATACCAGCATATCTTTCAAGGATACAACTTTATCTTGAAACAATAAAGTTAATTATATTATTAAGAAACTATACAACTAATTATATACTATATTTAGAATTTATGAAAGTAAATACAACAATCACTAATAAAACAGATAAAATTAAAGACAGAGGGCTAAACTTTTAATGATCAAAATATATACTTGCTAATGGATTCATAATATTTTTATGAATTATGAAATTTGCAGGTGTGCATTCAATTTCTGGGACTGACACAAAACAATTCTTATTAATGTTTAAGATACACATTGCAATTTAAAACAAAAAAACTCATATTAAAACAATGTTTCTCCAACAGGGTTCGTAGCCAACTATTTATATAAAATTAAATGACTTTTTTGAAAAATCAGATGAATTTCTCTGACGATTTTTAACAATGGTTTTTACAAAATGTTTAAAATTACTATCTACTGTAATGGAAATGCTAAGAATATACATGCTTTGAATGACAAAACTTATAAAACTTAGCTACTACTTAAGTTAGATATTAGTATAGATCTTATTATACATCTTAGTATGGTTCTTATTATTAAGGATGATTAAGAATAAACACTAAGAAAAACATGTTTGAGAAAAAATAAATTAGTAGCACCAAAAAAAACATAATAGCTTAATTGAGCGCTGTATTCTGAAAATGTGAAAAAGTCACAAAATTAAAATATTACAGGAGAGTAAAAAACATTTTTCCTAAAAAAAACTATGTTTTTATTTTAACTAAAATTTTTTTTTTTTTTTATCAAAAAAAAATCTTCATTTTATCTAAAAAATCTTTTTTTTATCTTATAAATTTATCTTTTACTAAAAAAAATATTTTTTTCAAATAACCTCAATTTTAAAAAGTGTGACTCTTCACGTTTTCAAAATACAGCGTTCAATTGCGATATGAGTAACTTCTTAACTAGAATTACTGACTTTTCCATGACTATCTAAAAAAAAAAAAAATCCCAGACTTTTTCAGGTTTTCCACCACTTTGGCCAATATTAACATTTTTTCCAGATTTTCCAGGTACAGTACAGAGCTTGTCCAATGTTTGAATATAATTTTTTTTTACATGTTTTAGTTCTGAATTTTAATAATACAATTTAAAAAATAATATCATCTATAAAAATATCGTATTACATTTGTCTATTAGATAAGTTTAAATAAACATTTATATAATAAATAATAATGTACCACCAGCAACTGTTAAAACTTTAAACTGATATGAATAGTCTGTTCTTTTTTTTCAACAGTTAATTTCAAATGGATTTCAAAGTTGGTGACTTTGAAATCCAACAAAAAATTTTTGTTACGTTCATAAACATAAATGTTCTCAAAACGACTAAAAAACCGGGCCAGTTCTTTGCAACTAAATATAATTTTGGTGGTCAGAATCCAAGAGCGATCGCTCCCGCTTCCTGACCAAACCAGTGGTGTAAGCTTTGATATGTTGATTATTATAAAATAAAATGTTAATTACACTCTGACTTTTTGACCGTAATATGTGAAAAAGTCTTTAAAATTGTAAAAGTTAAAGCTATGAAAAAAGATTTTCAATCATCAGACATAAATAATTATAATATAAAAACTTACCATTTAATAAATTTTGTTCATTTTACTTTTCATAGCAAACATTGAACTTCTGAAAAGAATTTGTAGTTACAGGTAAATCCCAAAGTTTAATAATATTTTTAGTTTTATTATAAGAAATTGAGGATAAATGATCTACACCAAGATATACACAACTTTTTGTCTCTTTAATCTTTATTTTGACTGGTTATTATCGCTATCTTCCTTTTTTGTCTCCAGAGCAGAAGTTTAGCCTTCTGCTAAATTCAATCTTGTATTGCTATAAAAATCTATAAATTAAATTATTAATAATTAAGTTATAACGAAAGTTAATGTATAAGCTTAAAGTTGTTAACTGCTGTATGCTAACTAATTATGAAAATTATTCAGAGATATTAAATTTAAAATTATAAAATCAAGAATAATGTCCCTCTGCCTCAGAAAGATGGAATATATAACGGGCTGTTTCAATTTAAATCATGATTTAAATCAGACAAATAAAAATAATGATTTAAATTGAGTCTTTTTATTTCAATTGATTTTAATGATTATTTATTGATTTAATCTCATAAATCAATAAATTATTTTAGACTAGTCATTGGTCTTAAAACAAAATGTCTGGCAATATTAGAAAGCTCTACATAATAGAATATAAATTCTAATAACATCACTTTTTGTACTCTGTTTTAATATTTTAGTAGATGGGGTTTCACAATCAAACAAAAAAGACGTACTTAAAATGTAAAATATCAGCTTCTAACAACTTCAATGCCACATATATATTACTGATACCTTTAATAATATATCTTATAATAGCTATATAATCTAAACTATTATAAATAAATTATGAAAAATTTTTTTTTTCAAATACTTATACTGTATGACATTTCAAATGTTTGATATATTTAATAAAAAAGAATTTAAAATGTCTTCATTATTAAATAAATCGAACATTTGAAAAGTTACATTTATTTAATAAAGATTATTAAATAATTCAAACATTTGAAATGCTAATACAGCAATAAGTATAAAAAAATAACTTTAAGATCTTACACAAAAATAATTTAATTATTACATTTTATTATTACATTAATAATTTACATTGTAGTAAAAAATGTTTCAAGCATATTATTCAACATATTTCATTAAAAAAAAAAACATTAAGTCACGAGAATCTCTTGAAATTTATTTCATATAACGAACCTTTTAAGATTTTTAGAAGATTCATAAATATAGCTTCTTTTTTTTATATATAATTTAAAAAAATGGAAAGATAATATCCAAACCTTTTTTTAGTCTGTCAAACGATACCATTTTTAAAAATGTTTTGAAAATATTTACTAATCCGCAACTACATTGGCCGAATATTGGCTACGGCTTAAATGTAAGAACAGATTTTTATAGCAAAATATTAAGCCTATACTACATTGGCCAAATGTTGGCCCAACGTAGTACGATAATTACAAAAAACCGATTTGTAGAATTACAATATTACGCCGAAGAAAAAATATTGGCTAAATGCTGGCCCAATATAGTACGATATTTGCAAAAAACCGATTTGCAGAATTGAAAATAATACGTCGAAAAAAAACATTGGCTAAATGTTGGCTTAACGGAATAAACTTGCCAATGTTAAAACTTACGTTAGGCCAATGTAAGTTAGCTGTCTGGGGTATAACTTTACAAGTTTGTTTTTCTTATGATTATTATCTAGTAGTAAACGGCGGGTTTTGCTCATATTTTATCTTTGACTTAGCAGAAAATACTTACATGATGGGTCGAAATGAATAGTATTATTGAAATTAGCGTACCAATACATATCATTCATCAAATCCAAAAAAAAAAAAAACTTTTAATTTGCAGACCTGTGTAATCAATATAAATGGTTAAGGATTTGAACTTGTTTTGCATAGAAACATTTTACCCTATGTGCTTGGGGTAATTTCAAACACATCGGAATTATCCCACGTCCGTAATAGTAGAATGTTACCCTACGTACGTGGGGTAATTCCGAACACATCATGGGGGGGGGGGGGAGCAAACAAAAACACTGTTGTGTAATAACAAATGAAATGCTAATTGTTATAACTTAGTGCAATAATTATGCTATGAAACAAAAACAAACAAAAGAAGTAGTTTTATGTCCATCGAAGCTACAACAGAATGTAAATCAAGAAAAAAATTGCATAAAATTATCAGAAAAAGTTAAAATCAAATTATAGTGAACAACATCTGCAGCTTTATTACACCACTGCATGTCTGGAACTGAGCATGGGATCCCCTCTCAGCAGGTAAAAAGATATTGTCAAATTTTATTTTTCTATAATGCTGTTTTGACCATGTTCGGAGTTACTGCGCGTTCACCATTACCCCCCAGAAAGGAAGCTTACATTGGACCAACAATGGACCAATGCATGATGATGCATTGGCTTAACGTTAAAAATTAATGTTGGCCCAATACATGTTTGATCATTGTTTAGGTATTGGCTCAATGTTTTAAAAAAAATTTGCCTAACGTTCTATACAACATTGGCCCAATATCGTATGTTATATATCTAACGTTTTATGCAACATTATATCGTTGTTACATATAAGATGATTTGCGTCGCTACATTGAAAAATTATAGAGAAAAAAAATAATTTATGATACAAGTATAAAAATTTATTTATTTAACATAGTTTCTCGGTTAAATATAAATATTGCAAACACCAAATTAAAACAAAAACTGACACATTGGGTATTAAATAAAAAAAATTCACCATAAAGTTTATAGAGTAGTTTCGATAATGGCTGAACAACTTGTTATTAAATCGTGTTTAGCTAATGATATTTGGTGCCAACAATTATTATTTTTTTCCACTATCTCTATCACATGTCTGCATAAGCTATGCTTATTTGACTTTAATTAAAACTGAAAAAATAAATTTTTCTAAACCGTTTAACAATAGCAACATATGCAATCAACATTTTTCCTATTCCAATTTTTTGTCCTCTCCCTGCATAGTTTAATTTTACGGCTAGGCCATTTTAAAAAACTACTCTTAGTAAATAGGATACACAATCTCCTTCGTTTTTAACTCTAATTAATGCCAAATAATTGACCTGTAAAAATACACAATCTGGCAATAATTAATTTAAATTTTGTTTAGACTTAAATTAATATAAAATGTCATTAAAAAAAATCTTGAAAGAGTATTTTATTTAAAGTATGTAAATTGTACAAAGATATCATACAAAATGCATAAAAAGATCATAAAAAATATTTACCATTTACTTAAGTATGTTGTTGTCTTTTTTCTTCCTGAGTACTTGAATTCTTCACTG